GTGACTTCTGCGACCTCCATGAAAAAATCATAGCCTTGCACATAATTAAGGATTACCACTCAGCACAAAATCTGAGGGAAGTCATGAGTCTGTTCTTTGCTTGCAAAACAATTAGGTGCAAGTATTCAAAGCGGAGCACACCCTGTGCACCCACAAACACCTGTGTGCACGCCCACTGTGCACCTCAAAATTTCCTTTCAAACCCCTGTGCATACCCTTTTGTAATAAAATGGGAATCTTTTGTAATATTTGTGTGACCCCATGCATGCCTCAGTTTCCCCTATATGTTGGCGGGGGAAAGGAGTGTTTGCTCTCAGAGAGACAGGGCAGGTTTGGAGACATAAGTGTGTGTGCTGCCTAGCTCTCTGAGCCTGAATGGGTCATTACAAAGGACTGGTCAAGGCTGATCCCAGTTGCCAGACATTGACACCTAGCAAGAAACAACCCAGAGGGAGATGGATTTCCTCACTTCTCAGCAGGGAAGCTAAGCAGGTACCCCAGCTCAAGAACAAAGGACTGGGAAAGTATGAGGTGGGGGATCAGAGTCAACTCTGGAAAGAGTCAGGACTCTCACCTGGGAACTGACCCAGGGGGTCAGACAGAGAGAGGCAGACAGAGCCTGAAATGGGGTTCACTTTCACTCCAGCTTAGTCGGGCTTTGGCTAACCAGACTGGACTATATTTTAACCTTCAATTCTCTGTGCTAAACTGAGGACTTCCTGTGCTGTGTTCCAGCTGACTAATAAACCCTATTGTTCTGATAACGCTGCCTGAGTGGTGTTGTAAATATTTGGCAACATGCATTAATCCCCGAAGAGTGTACGTCTCTACCAGGAGTCTACTTCAGTTGGACTCTCCGAATAGAGCTCACAGTGTGAAGCAGGAGCACTGAAGCCCCAGAGGTTCAGTCCAGGAGGTGGTGAGGCTGCATCGCCTATTCTGGAGGAAGGGTGAGACCCCTTGGGGGTCCGGCACATTGAAGGGGTTCCTCCTAGAGACTGTTGCAAAACTGTGGGTGTAGCACCGATCCTATGGATCCGTGACACCTTTATAGCCTCATCCTCTACTTGTGCATGCATACACATACGTATTCACCTAGTGCACTCGTCACCTCACCTCATCTGTACATTAATTATGCCTGCAAAACCTCCTATGTGCAAACCCACCACACCTGGAAAAAAAAAAAAAACCCTCAATTGCTGGCTTCAGACATGCAAAAATGGAGTTCTGTGGGTGAGAGGGGCACGCACACGTTTTTCTGCATGCCTCTTCTACCCTGCTTTGAAAACCTGGCCCTTGCAAGAGTCGTGAAATGTGAACGTATTTGGCTCTAAGGCCACAGTGACGTTTGGGTGTTTGTATCTGACATGCAGTGTCATGGTGACATGATAATATCATGTACCCATGTGAGGCAGGGTGTGAAAACGAAAGCATCACAATGCAGCTGATTCACCAGGCAGGACACATACTAAGAGGGTGGGACCTATTTAGGATTAGGTCCATTATGGTGCAATGCTACAGAAAGAGGCTTTAGGGCTTCTGAGGTACAATATCCTTATGTGGGCTCTCCCTCCACCCCTGGCACCTCTAAGAGAACACACAACTGTACCAGTGCCTCTCAGCTTGAACCATACCTCACTGGACTCTGCATTACTTAGATTCCCTAAGGAACCAGGAGATGTGGGCACTTCTCTCTTGCTGGAAAAGAACAAGAGATTAAACACATGGCACGGGGAAAGAGAGGCCCAGGTAACTTTCTGATACATTTCTGAGCCCTCTGATCCTGGAGGCTGCCAGAGGCCAGACCACTTCCTTAGCTGCTGCAAGTCAGAGCAGACTTGGGCTGCCAGGGGATGTACAAGGCATTATGTTCCAGTCCCACCCTGTCACAATCCTGACATGCCCACTCCAAACCTGCTCCATAATGTCCCCCATGCTAGGGGGCAGGGGCCAGATGAGGATTCCTCTTACGTAGGGGAACCCTTAGCTGTGGCCTTCACAACCACTATAAATCCCCTTTGTGCTTCTGGGGTGGAGCACGGGGGGTCCAAGCGTGGGAAAGCTATGATTAAATTAGCCTGCTATCTTGGCAGTAACCCCATTTCACAGAAGGAGCCATTGAGGCATAGTGCAATGAAGTGACAAGCTCCAGGTTGCAGAGTGAGACCAGGTCTACCCTACAGATTTCTGCCGGCATAGCTCTGTCTGTCAGGGGGGGTGAGGAGATGTGATCCCTGACTGACAGAGCTGGGCCAGCAGAAGAGCTAGTGTAGATGCAGTTATATCAGTAGAACTGTGATTTTACCAGTCTAGCTTATTTTGTTTGAGGGGGGAAGGGGTGGATGGCGGTGCTGGAAAATAAGCTACACCAGCCAAAGCACAGCTTTGCCAGGTTAAGCTGCATCCACACTAGGAGTGCTTTGTGGGTATAGTATAGTGGTATGGCTATCCCTGGCAAAGTGCTCCTATAGAGTAGACGTGGCCTGAGATAGTGGCCCTAAGGAATTGAACCCAGCAGTCCTGATGCCTCCTGGCTGTCTGCCTTAATCACAAAATCACCTCTCTCTTCTGAACACCAGACGATCAATTATTTGCAAAGCCACAGGATTTCTCAGGGTTTGCTGGAGGAATGAGACCCAGGCAAGTGGTGACATCCAGGTCAGCATGTTCCTGAGAGCATTCTGTGATGATTCCAAAGACACTCCCCATTCTCCTACACTCTATTATACACTGAATTAGAGGCAGCTTTTCAAAAACCATCCAGCTCCTCCCAATACACACTCTCCCTCCATGCAAAATAACTTACATAGCAGACTAAAACCCAGTCAAAGGAGTACAGCATCCAGGATTTTCCTCCCCAACTTTTTTATCCAATGCACTAGTGAATTTGGGACACATAGGGGGCCTCATGCTCCACATGTTGAGAAAGAGTCTTGTTCCAATTCCTAGACCCCAGCTTGTGGTCTGAAACACCAGCATACATTGGCAGTGGGGAACAAAGGGAGTGTAACGTCTATCTGCAGCGCACCCCTCTGGGTGACATGGGAGCGACATGATTAGCTGACTGATTCTCATCCAAGCCCCCCTCCCTTTTAGGCAAGTTAGCTGTGACATGGGGCTTTAAAAGGAGGGTGAGCACAACAATGGCTTTGATCAGACAACAGGATGGATTCTTTCAAAACAGAGGCAGGTTTGCGCATATGAGAGATTGTTTGGCTCCATGTTTACTACTCCTGATTGAATTAGCACAGTAAACCAGCGAGGAGATGAGTTCTCTGTCAGAGCTACAAACTCAGTCATGGAGATGAAAATCTAGCTGCTGTTCTTCCTATTACAACATCAACCCATTGTGAGAGTGTCTGACGTTTGGGCAGAGGTCGATTCTACTCTACCTCATTTGCCCCCTCCCCTCCCCCCAGAACAGCACTGGGATATGCTGGTTGTGTGAGTGAAGAAACAGCGTGGGGGGTGCGGTGGACATGGTGGGACTGACTCAGTTCTGTGCTCTAGCCCCTATACTCACTCCATCAGCATGTATGGGCCAAAACTGTATTGCAAGGAGCTGGGGCAGAATTCCCCATTGCATAGGGCCACTTAAGCAGCCCTATGTTGCACCGCCCGCTCCCCCTCCCCCCGCTTTGTAAGTCTCTGTGCGAAGAGGCGGGGGTGGGCAACACAAAAAGGGTAGGGAATCGCTACAGTGCACACCACTACGAAGATTCGGGACTGCTCCAAACTGTGGAACAGCCCTCTGGGAATTCTCAGGAAGCTGCTCTAAATCAGAGCACCTTTGAGCTGCTCTAATCTACGCCAAGGGCCATTTCAGCCCCTAGGGCAGCCCAGAATCCTGGGGATGCAAGGGAATGATCAAACCACCTGTCCTCCTCTCCCCCTGCATTGTAGTTCCTGCAGGTGCCACATAGGACAGGTCCCAGGATGCAGAGACACATAAGGAAGCCAGATTCTGGTGTCAGTTACAACCTGTATTAACTCACGTGGAGTCACGCTGGATTTCCACGGGTGTAACAGAGAGCAGAGTTGGCACAGGGAGCTGAGGGGTAAATGAGACGGTGTCATTCTGACACCAGCACTGTCCTGACCACAATTTCATTGTCAAGTGACAGTTATGGGAGAGCGCATTGTGACAGACAGAGCAGAGCTGATTCTGAAGCCCTTAAAACCAAGCCACAGCACAGGTGGCTGCTGTGGATTGTAGTTCATTTGGTTACAAGTCAGTGCTAGCGACAGCCCAGAGAGGAAGAAGGATGCTGTGGGACACCACACCGACACACCCAGAAGTCTAGGTGCTGCCTGAGGAGCAAGATAAAATCTAGAAGTAAGAACTTCTGTCTGAAGACAGCAAGACGCTGTCTGAAAAGGGAGTCAATATGGTGTAGTGAGTTAGAGGGAGCCAGGCGTTCTGGATTCTGTTATTGGCTTTGTCACTGACTCGCTTTGTGACATGATGTGAACCATGCGGCAATTTTCTGTAATATTTTTATTATGCCTTTGTGTTCCTCAGTTTCCCCATGTACTTTGCATTGCTACCCAATGGTTGCAAAAAGGGTTAGAATGTGGCTTTTGGGGCAGAGCAGGGGACATGAGGTGCTGTGTTACTTCACTGTCGGATGAATGGATCGTTAGAGGACTGGCTGTAAGTCACCCGTATCAATGGAGGTTCCAGAAAGACAAAGGGAGCTGCATCTACTGAACGACTGACCCTATCCCAGGAACATGTGAGCTCAGCATGGGTCGGCAGGAAGGGGATAAGTTTGAGTTCTTGGAGGGACTCAGCAGCTCTCTCCGAGGACTGTCAGAGAGCCTGGAATGGAGTCTATGACAGCTTGGCTGGCTGACTGGTTTGGTCAGTATGGACCATGTCTTAATCTGAGATTCTCTACACTCACCTCAGGACTAGTCAATGCTGTGTTCCAGTCAACTAATAAACCCTACACTGTTTTAGAAAAGGCTGCCTGGTGTCACTGCAAATCCTCACAGAAAGCCCTGAATGATTACAGTACAAGCCTCCTGCAGGAGTTCTGCTTGGCTAGACTTGCTGCAGGGAGCCATGGAAGAAGACAGGGTTCTCTGGTGCCCGAAGATCCAGTTTTGGAGTTTCTGAGGCTGAAGCCCTGCCCTGTGGAATTGTGTGGGTCCTTGGGGCCCAGCACACTAAAGGGGTCACTCTCAAGGCACTGGTAATAGCCTGTGGCATGGACCAGACTCTGTGAATCTGAGACATTCACTAGGTCTCAGCTTTCCCATTCACAAAACAGGGACAAGTCTACTGACCCAAATTTGGTCTCCTTGCAAGAAAGGTGCGACATAAATACAAAACATCGCTATTATTCCATTTCCTTCCCAGCTGGTGGGAAAGGGGATTCACAGGTCAGAGAATGGTAAAAAAAAACCCTAAGTAAAAATTCAGGGAAAATTTGTTCCAAAAATTCCTAATTTTCTCTGGATTTTCCAGAGGTTCAGAGCATTTAACGCACCCTAGCACCTGATGGTGATGAACATGATATCCAGTCTGGGGCTGAGACACTGGGCATATTTGAGAATCATAAGCCAGGACTTTGGTGGCTATTCACTTGTCTCAGGGATCAGTGTGAGGGGTTCTAGGAAGCAATGGGCACTCAAAGAGAGAAAAAATGAGCAATGCATGTGTTCCTACCTCTGAGCATTCTCTTTGGTGAGATTCACAGCAGCTTCCTCTTTATCAACAGCTATTACCCGGCTCTGGCACAGAAGGAAACAAAACACACATTATATCACCAACTTTACTGCTGTTGGCTGATGACTGGACATACAGGCTGTGGCAAAAGGAGCAAACGAGACAGATGATGCCAATATAAGGTATTGGAAAGGGTCCCTCTGTCGTTCTAACACCAAAATCAGAAATAGCTCCTGAAGAGGGATAGCTCAGTGGTTTGAGCATTGGCCTGCTAAACCCAGGGTTGTAAGTTCAATTCTTGAGGGGGCCATTTAGGGATCTGGGGCAAAATCAGTACTTGGTCCTGCTAGTGAAGGCAGGGGGCTGGACTTGATGACCTTTCAAGGTCCCTTCCAGTTCTAGGGAGATAGGATATCTCAATTAATTTATTGGGGGGAGGGATAGCTCAGTGGTTTGAACATTGGCCTGCTAAACCCAGGGTTGTGAGTTCAATCCTTGAGGGGGCCACTTAGGGATCTGGGGCAAAAATCAGTACTTGGTCCTGCTAGTGAAGGCAGGGGGCTGGACTCAATGACCTTTCAAGGTCCCTTCCAGTTCTAGGAGATAGGATATCTCCATTTAAAAAAAAAAGAATCCATCTTAGGACTTCCTTGGGAGCAGGACACTTTGGGGTTGTATAGTCGCTTGTAGCTAGGCCATCTGGATAACTGAATATTTTCATTACCATTGCTAGCATTTTACCTTAATAAGAAGTCTTAGGGCCAGACCTTCTGCTGGTTTGAATCAGCTGGAGTCAGAAGAGCTACACTGATTTGCATCAGCTAACGACCTAGTCCTAAACCTATCTGTGATGCTGGCAGGCCAGGTGCCAACTCATGCCAAGACCCCTAGGCCACACTGAACATTGACAAATGCAGAGCTGGAAACCAGTCTGGCTCACCTGTGTATTAGCATTGTTAAAACAGATGTTAAGTTTTTACAAATGTATTGAGTGTTTGGACTTAATGAAATGCTTATGAGTTGCTGCCTGCATTAATCTCACTTATAATAGCTATTATTTGGGAGATGGTAATAGTTAAGTGTTTGCTATGAAACTGGAAACCCCCACTGTCAGAAGAGAAGCCTTACCAAGTGTGAGATACCTCTTGTGATAAAAGGTGTGATCTCCTGCCCAACAAAAGAAGGCCTATAGACACCAGACGAACCACTGTGGAACATAAGCAGATAAAAGACTTTCCTGATTGCTCCCCCCACACCCAGGAAGAAGGGACATATACAAACCCTCATCCCGATAACAGTTTGAACTCTGGGGAAGGGAATAAAAATCTCTGACCAGAAGGGTCTGTGTCCCTATGCTGTTTGGACTTCAGGGAGGAGGCAACACTTCCAAGCATAAGCAAGGGATCCCCAGCTGTTTAGCTTGGGTAAGCCCTAAAGGACATCTGGAGCTTGCAAATTACAGCAGCTTCTATTGCCTTTTGAAACTTAAGACTGTAACTCATATGTGTGTGTTTAACTGCTTTAATCTTGTAAATAATTCATTTATTTTTCCTAGTTAATAAATCTGTAGTTAGTTTATCACAGGATTGGCTACAAGCGCTGTCTTTAGGTAGGGATATAAGATACAATCAACCTGGGGTAAGTGTCTGGGACCAGAAGTAACCTGAATATTGTTGTGAGTTTTGGTGTAAGAGACCATCTATCACAATGACAGGCTTGTCTGGGAGGCAAGAGTGCCCAAGGGGAACAGTCTGTGACTCCAGAATAAGGCTGTTATAGTGCTTTAGGAGTTCACAGTTGATACTCTGTTGGCAAAATCTAATTATACAACATATAACCAGTTTGGGGTTTGTGCCCCGATTTGTAAGGCTGCCTTAAGGCTAGCACCCATGTTTGTGAGCCACTCCAGACAGCTTGACAGTATCAACTGGTAACCTGGGACAGAGCAGCCCAGCAGAACAGAGAGTGAGGAGTAGAGAGGGAAGAGCTTCATGGGTTCCTCATCTCTAATACAGAGAGAATCCATGCCCTAAGGAATCCACTCAAGCTTTAAAAGGAGACACACTCTATGCTGGGACAGGGGACCTGGGTTCGCAGTCTGTTCTGCAGAGAGCTCTATCCTCGCTGTAACCATACATGACAAGTTGCTAGTTCTTTATTTTAATGCAGCACTTTAGGGCCAAATTCTGTCTTGAAGTACATGTCATAGACACTAGAATTGTTGTGGGGTGCGTAAGCCAGCACAGATTTAAGCTGATCTATTCACTCAAGGCTCATGCATGTTGGCCATTTGGGGAAGGGTTGACATAACATACAAGGACAGACTGACACAGTCGTTTACGTCTGAAAGGCAAGGAGAGCAGCGTAGTGATTGAGTAGGGAAACAAGAGCAATTTATAATTTGGCCTAGTGAAAACTAAACGTCAGCCCAACAGGTCACTGGGCGAAGGGACACGAGCTACAGGCATGACCCTCCATAGACCTTACACACCAACACTCGATGCTTCTTCTCAGTGGCATGTCAGGACAGTTTTATTAAGGCATGCAACAACTCACTAACATGCCTTAGGCATCCAAAATAGCGTCCTCCATGCAGCGTGACCTTGCACGTACCGATGGGCCAAGATGATGCTGTGTGGAGGATGCCATTTTGTTCTACCAAATGGTGTCCTCCATCATGGGAGCTGGACGGAGTTATTCTGCAGGCCGGATGCGGCCCACGGGCTACCAGTTGGACAACACATAGTCGGTCGGCATGCAAAGCATGCCTAGTATACATAGACGGCATAGCACTGATTCTTCTCCCAGGGTCGTTATCAGCCTGGATGAGTCTGAGGGATGAACTGATCTCCGGATCTGGAGCAAGGGAAGGCCTTTTTCTCCCCACGGCATGTGGGCAGGGATCTTGGGTCATTCTCCCCCTCCTGAAGCACTGAGCAGGGATTATCCATTGCGGTCTGAGTTGGGGGCGGGATATACCCCACATGATTGATAATCTGAAACTGAAGGGGGCTTTAGTCACTTATAGATCCCAGTCCTTCCTGTGACTTTGTTTCCTCCTTTACCAGTGAGGGATTATGTTACTGGGGAAGGGACAGGCACCAAAATGGGCTCTTGGCAGTGATCAGGGTAGCTGGTGAACTGTGACTACTGCTCATTGCATTGCTCACAAATGCCTCATTCTTTCCTTGTGCTCTTTTGTCTGTCTGTATCACCTGTTGTCTCTTGTCTTATATCTAGACTGTCAGCTCTTTGGGAGCAGGGACCATCTTTTTGCTGCATGTCAGTACAACACCTGGCGCAATGGGACTCAGTTCTACCATAATACAAAGGATGAAAAGCTCACTCACCTTGGGCAGTTTGCTCAGTAAACTCAGTGCAATAGCCCCTGAGCCACAGCCGATCTCCAGGATCACAGGGTGAGGGACAACGGTGGGGCTCTGGTGACCAGCAAGAACTGCAGGGCTCCCACTCCTCTGTAATTCTTCTTCCAACACCAAGGAGACAAGCTCCTAGCAGAAAAGGGATAGTGAGCTGTTTCTGTGGGGGTCCGATGAGGACTCAAACTAACACCCGAGAGCTTGGGAAGGGAAGGTGAAAGAGCCCCATTTCTCACCTTTGTAAACAAATACATTTCTGTATTTTAAAAAAAGCAACACATGGCAGTAGCAGGATTGAGATCCCAGAAACAGCTTCAGCTCCACATAGTTCTTGGACTATAACCAAATCTGCAGGTGCCCTACAGATCCTTTTATATCTTTTAGGACATTTGAAAAGAATAAGCAGCTGGAACACACACATTCTCCCCCCCTCCCTTTCTTTTGCCACAATCATTAACTTTTATCTCTGAAAGCCTCACTACTCACCAATCTTAGCCTTGCCATGTCTGAAACTCTACTCATGCTTTGAAATAGTTTGGTGGCGAGCATGTAACTCCCTAAGACCAACCACTAAAGCACTAGGCCAACCAGCAGATGGACAAGAAATACAGTAAATGGCCCAATCAAGTGGGCTTCCTGTGTTGGCTTGCAATGCACAACTACACATGCTGGTTTGTTATTGTACGGTCACACTCAAGAATGGCTGGCTGCTAGCATGGATTTTTATTTTATTTTGACAAGGCAGCACAGGAATCTTTATTGTTAATCACATATAAAAAACCACAACAAAGAATTGCATGGATTTTGCCAACAGGTATACGAGCAGAAAGATGCTCCAGGGTAAATTACAGGCCTCCCATTCTTACTAGCAGCATTCTATGTCAATCCATAAAGTAACAATGCATGACTGGTGGGTAGGTCAAAATCCTTTATGTAAAACGCTAGATTTTTCTCAGGAGCCAGCATTAAGCTGCCTGCAGAGTGAACCCTATTTGCATGGACATCCTAGCATTTTCCCACACCCTGCTTTGGAAATCGGGCCTAAAGTGGATTAGAGAGCACAGGAGGCCTCAGGCAAAACTGCTTGGTTCGTCCACCTCTGCTGGTTATTCCACACCACAGACCAGTTTGTGGCATCACAGAAAGCTAGTGTGGAAACAATTAAGATGTGGCAAACAGGTGAAGAAATAAGGAGTTGTAGCAGATGAGCCCTTAAGAAACAAAGATTCTATTTCCATACAGAGAGCTATCCCTAGCAATAGAGGAAGACAAGCAGGTGAAATACCTGGGAGAGGTCAGTTGACTTTCTAAGAAACCTCCAGAAACATTCTGTACAAGGCGTGAGCTGCTCTTCAACCCATTAAAGAAAAAATCCACATACACTCCATCCAAGCAAGAACTGGAGCCAGGGCCGGCTCCAGGCACCAGCTGAGCAAGCTGGTGCTTGGGTCGGCAGATTGTTCGAGGCGGCATTCTGCCAATCCTAGGGCGGCACGGCCGCTTTTTTTTTGTTGGTTGGTTGGTTGTTTTTGTTCTTGTTCCGCTCCGGCTGCCCTGTAGGGGGCGGCGGCACGGAGAACCAGAGCACCCTGCAAGGCAGTCCTCTTCCTTCCCTCCCCGCCGACCAGAGCGGAGCCCTCGCGGCAGGCGGCGGCACAGCGGGAGGGGCCGCGTGGCAGCACCCCTGGCCACCCCCTTCTCTCTCTCTCCCACCCGCTCCCTTCCCCCCCACCCCCAGCCGGTCCCCCTGCACCCGCGCTCCAGCCGCGCTGCAGGTTTTTGTTTTTTTTTTTGGCTTGGGGCGGCCAAAAAGCCAGGGCTGGCCCTGACTGGAGCTTGGAGTTGTTGAGCAGCCTGGTTTATTTCAATGTTCCCCTGACCTGGACCTGTCTGTGGGAAAGGCAGTTTGACTGGCCCATTTTTAAGGGGAGCTCCTTGTCTGTGGATTTCTCCTGCAGCAGGGTCAGAGCACATGCAGGTGAACTCAGGACGCAGTGTATGGTGTTCTAGCATGCCTCTGGCCAGGTCTACACTACAAAGTGCTGTTGGCATAGCTACATTCATCAGCAGTGTGAAAAAAACTGCCCCCCGGTCAACAGGAAAACTCACCCAGTGTAGACGCAACTTGGCTGACATCTTGGCTGCTGTCAACCTAGCTAACGTCATTCAGGGAGGTGGTGTAAATATGTTGCCAGAAAAACTTGTTGGCATAAGCTGCACCTTCATTAGGGGACTCTGCCAATATACTTAGTCCAGCAAAGCATGTGTTGTGCAGACAAGGCCCCTCTCTTGGAGCAGAATCAGCTGGTTTTAGGGAGGCTGGCTGCAGACATGAAGCAGCACTCTTCCTCACATCCTCAGAAGGGGTTAGTACCCAGAAAGTTTGGTCAGCAAGGGTGCCCTTGCATGCTAGCCGTCTCTGATCACTTACGAAAGGGCGATGCTTACAGGAACACTCTAGTGTGACACAGAGGAGACAATCACAAGGAGTGAGTACAGAGCAATAGTTTCTTCTTAATCTATGCCTCAATGATCTCGTATTGCCAGAGTATTTCCTCATGAAGCTCTTCCAGGTCTCTCTCCAACAACAAATGCTATTGCTCATTGTTTTCGTCTTTTGCCCTCAGGCGGGCATATTCCTGGTCCAGTTTTATGGACTGAGCCAAGACACTGTCCCTGGAGAAACGTATCTCTTCCAACTTGGCCTGCAAATCTGTCTAGACATGGCTGATCTGAAGACTTATTTCCTTGAGCCGGCTGTTCACTATCTCATTGTGTCTCTGCTTCTCCACCGGCACTGCTTCTTCTCTAGGTCCAGTGCTCCTTGATCCAAGGAACTAGCAGTCCCCGCTATCAGACCATCTATGTCATGCAGTGCCTGGCATTTGCCATATTTATGAGCTGCAAGTTTCTCTAGTTAGGTCAATTTCCTAGAGCCTGAGCAGAAACAACTCCACCGCCCTCCTGAAGCCTGTATGGCTTCCGCTTCTCTCTCTCTTGCTCTGCTTCCTCTTCCTGTTTACGTAGCCCAGCCCTAGGGTGGGGAAAAGCTCCTGGATTACCTCAGGCTGCCCCAGCTGTAGGTTCCAGCCTGTCCCTCAAAGGCATAGTATTCTCCTTCACAGAACCCATCCCAGGGCAAGCACCCTGATATTTCACTTAGGAAATATGCTCACCTGGGAGAAATCAGCTCTCATGTGACTACACAGCCAGGAGACTAAGGGCTTGTCTACACAGGGAAATTGATCAGTATTGCTATACCAGAATAAGGGTATGCCTACATGACAATTAAACATGCGTGGCTGACCCATGTCAGCTGACTCAGGCTCATGGGGCTCAGGATACAGGACTGTACGATTGCAATAGAGATGTTTGGGCTCAGGCTGGAACCCGAGCTTTAGGACCCCGCAAGGGGGGAGGGTCCAGAGCCCGGACTCCAGCCCAAATCTGAATATCTACACTGCAATTTTAAAGCTCCACAGCCTGAGCCCTGCGAGTCCGTGTCAGCTGACATGGGCCAGTGGTGGCTGTTGAACTGCAGTGTCGCCATACGCTAATTGTTCCGCTATAGTTGTGTCAATATAACACCCCCTGCGGACACTCTATTCCAGAATAAAAGTGACTTTATTCTAGAATTCCAGAATAGTGTGTCCACAAATGGGAGTTATACCAGGATAGCTATAGCAGGATATTTCACTACAGCTCTGCCGGTCAATTTCCCCAAGCAGACAAACCCTTGGCAAATATGCTTGTATTCAGATGGGAACTTCATTCCCCAGATCCTACTCTACAGCATCAGACTGGAGCTTCCGGCTGGGGAGTAGCAATAAAATGGAAGTATTAGAGACACCAGTACTTGACATAGCCATAGAGAAACTGAGCACAAACCTCACCACCTTGCACTCCAAGTACAAGCCACATTTCTTTGACCTTGCATTCCCTAACATAAATATACAGCCAAATGTATACTAACTCCTGCCCTCCTAAACCGTATCAAAAACCCCTCTCCACTGCACAGGCTGCTCCCCCTGGGGAGAGGCTGAGAGAACAAACAACATGTGACAGGTTTTAGGTTGCTTAATGAAATACTGGAAAGTGCTCAAATACTATGGTGATGAGCATGATATAAGAAATATAGACTAGAAATAGAGGTTTCTAAAATGGCTTTACATATTAATTATACAATACACCTCTACCCCGATATAACGCGGTCCTCAGGAGCCAAAAATCCCTACCGCGTTATAGGTGAAACCCTGTTATATCGGGGTAGCGCCGGCAGGGCTCCAGCGGTGATTTAAAGAGCTCCGGGCTCCGGCCGCTGCGGGGAGCCCGGGCCCTTTAAATCGCCGGCCGAGCCCCGCTGCCACAGCTCCGGGATAGCAACGGCAGGGCTCCAGCAGTGATTTAAAGGGCCCACGGCTCCCCGCAGCAGCAGGAGCCCCGGGCCCTTTAAATCGCCGCCCGAGCCCCACTGCCGGAGCCCTGGGGTTACCGCACTATATGCGAACCCGTCTTATATCGGGTTGCGTTATATTGGGGTAGAGGTGTATGTAGTATATATTCTCATATTGAGAATATTCACTGAGCTAATTACTGCTATAGAATGCAGATTTCCTTTCAGTAATCTCAATCCACTAATCTAGTAGACAAAGGCATAACAAGATCCAAGGGCTGGAAAATGAAGTTATGAAAATTCTAACTGGAAATCACAGGAAACATTTTAACAGTCAAAGTAAGTAACCTTTGGAATAGATTATCAAGGAACGTGGTGCATTCTCCATCACTTGCTGTCTTTAAACTGATTGAATTGGATGCCTTTCTAAAAAATATGCTCTAGTTCAGACACAATTTATTGGGCTCAGTAGTGCCAATTACATAAAAAGGAACAGCAATTCCCTCTACTGCAGGAACTACATGCAGTACGTCAGACCAAATAATCATAGTGCTCTTAAATCCTACAAAAATTGGATATCTAGTCATCCTATTTAGCTTAGGTGTTTATATGTCCCCATTAACTACAATATGGTGAGCACCTATCACTATTTAATGTATTTATCCTCACAACACCCCTGTGAAGTAGGGAAGTGCTATTATCCCCATTGTAAAGATAGCAAACTGAGGCAAAGAGAGAC